TCCCATCCCATCCCATCCCATCCCATCCCATCTCATCCCATCCCCTCCCATGTCATCCCAACCCATGTCATCCCCTCCCATCCCCTCCCCTCCCATGTCATCCCATCCCATCCCCTCCCCTCCCATGCTATCCCATCCCATGTCATCCAATCTGTCCCAAATCAGGAAATGTTGGCTGCTACAACTGGCAGCCCCTGCTGGCTGCATCTGAACTGATGGTGAGGGAGAAGTGGATTCCACAGGGGGTGCTCTTCCTGACCATTGCTGAGTGCTGCGTATGTGACCCCTGACATGGGTGGTCTGACTGAGATGCTGGACACCTGGGTCCTGCAGACCACCTGTGCTCCTTCTACTGCCATTACCACTGCAGGTGACAGCCCCTTGAAACTTCATTCATGGAGCGAACTGGCACTTCCTAGGTACTTCTCTCAGGTAGAAAGCAGATGCAGGCTCAAAGTAAATAATCAAAACCTACAACCCAGCTGGCAGCACAGAAAATCAGGAAACATTGATCCTAACACGATCTTTATGCTTTATTTCTACATGTGACCAAGGAGGCCCATGCCTGTGCGTAGCTCCCGGCACATCCCACTGGCCTTCCTGCAGGGATCCCTCGCTCACCCGTGTCTCCTGGGCTTTCCCACCCTCTTTCTGAAAGGCCCGTCCTAATTTGAACAGTCCCCTGATTTTACACACTTTCCAAATTAAACAAATATGTTCTTCTTTTAAAAATTTAAAAATTATTTTATTGTATTAAATTTGTTTTAATTAGTTATGCATGACAGTAGAATGCACATTGATTCACTGTGCACAAATGGAGCACAGTTTTTCACTTCTCTGGTTGTGAGTGAAGTGGAGTCCCACCATCCTTGCAATCATACATGTACCTAGGGAAATGATGTTTGTCTCATTCTACTATCTTTCCTACCCCATTACCCCTCTTCTCCCTCCCTCCCCTTTGCCCAATCCAGAGTTCCTTCACTCATCCCATGCCCCCACCCCCATAGGGACCAGCATCACTTATCAGAGAGATCATTTGGCCTTTCATTTTGGAGGATTGGCTGACTTTGCTTAGCATGATATTCTTCAACTCCATCCATTTACCTGCAAATGCCATAATTTTATTCTCTTTTAATGATGAGTAGTACTCCATTGTGTATGTATACCACAGTTTCTTTATCCATTCGTCTATTGAAGGGCATCTAGGTTGCTTCCACAGTTTAGCTATTGTGAATTGAGGTATTATAAACATTGACATGGCTGCATCACTGTTGTATGCTGATTTTAAGTCCTTTGGGTATAGACTGAGGAATGGGATAGCTAGGTCAAATGGTGGTTCCATTCCAAGTTTTCCAAGGAATCTCCATACTGCTTTCAATAATGGTTGCACCAATTTGCAGTCCCACCAGCAGTGTATGAGTGTGCCTCTTCCCCCATTTATTGTTGCTTATATTCTTAATAGCTGCCATTCTGACTAGAATGAGATGAAATCTTAGAGTAGTTTTGATTTGCATTTCTCTAATTAATAGAGTCGTTAATTTTTTTCAAATATTTGTTGATTAATTGTATATCATCTTCTGAGAAGTGTGATGAATTACATTTATTGATTTCCGTATGTYGAACCAACATTGTGTCCCTGGGTGTACCTCACTTGATTGTTGTGCACTACTATCTTTTTAATATTTGCCAGAGTTTGAGTGAGAGTTTTCGCATCTATGTTCATCAGGGATACGGGTCTGAAGTTTTCATTCCTGGATGTGTCTTTGCCTGGTTTTGGTATCGGGGTGATATCAGCCTCATGGAATGGGTTTGGAAGGGTCCCTCCTTTCGTATTTCATGGAATCATCTGAGGGGACTGGTGCTAACCTTCTCCGAAGGTCTTGAGGAGCTCGCTGAGAAGCATTGGTCCGGGCTCTCCTTGGTCGGAAGGCTCCGGACACTGTCCCCACTTCATTGCTTGACATTGCTCTGTTCACCCTGTGTGTCCCTGGGTTCCACTGGGCAGGTCACATGTGTCTCGGAGTTGACTTTGCATCCTGCTGTTTTCTCTTTCACGGGAGTGGACATTTTCAAAATGGTTTCGGATCATCTTCTGTATTTGTCAGCAGTTTTTATCATAATAATTTGCATAAGGACATTCTTCCCCAAGTCTCTCCTGAGATTGGCCTCAGTTTGTCTCTCAGTGTGTGGCTGTTCTCCCTGAGTCCCTCAAACCCTGCGTTGGTGGCTCTGGGGCCTGTCCCTGGGCTAGTCCCTGCAGGTCACTCCCCTGGCCTGCTCCGTTGTCCCCGCCCCCCAGGTTCTGTGCTGTCCCTGATGGCCCCCTCCATTGCTGTTGCTGAGTGTGTCCACACCCAGGCCCCGGGCGGCAGGACGTCTGCCCTGGCTGGGCCTGGCTCTTCCTCTGATGTCCTTTTTGCCTTGTGCCTGCTCAGCTATGGCCTTGCTGGGACCACCTCCTGGGTTTCTGCTGGTGCCTGTCCTTTAGGAGGTACTTCTGGGGACCTAGACCCTGTATCTATGAAAGTCACCCGCGCTGTGTCTGTGCTCCTCAGGAAAGAGCCCCACAGGGGGGTTCAAGTCGCACACAGGTGCTCTCTGCCTGGCTGGCGCTGGGGAAGCATGCAGGCTTCTTTTGGAATATGGGGACAAAGTCACTTGTCCTACTTGGGAATGAGTTACTTTAGGTATATGAGATGTTATCTTCACAAAGTTTTCCTAGAGGAAAAGCTGGGGTTTCTCAATAGAAAACTCAATAGAAAAGGTCCTTTCTAAAGGAGGTGAGGGTCCCTGCTGCCAGGACCCAGGGACACCCAGCCTTGCTAGGTGCCGAGAGCCCCGTGAGCCTTCTGCGTGGTAAAGCTGGCTGGGTAGCTGTGGTGGGAGGAAACAGGTGATCTCTTTACTTTTCTTCCAGGTATAAGCCCAGGAGCAGGTACGAGTGTGTCCTCAGGCTGTCCACCAGGGGGGCCACTGAGGTGACCAGCTTGTCAGCGGTGAACGACTTCTACTCCCGTATCCTTGTCTGGGTCTTCCAGCTGCCAGCCAGTGAGCTCCGATGTCTGGTGCTGTGCGGCACAGGCTGCTCGGGGCCATTCCCGGGGCACTGACGCTCTTGGCAGCAACTGGACGGTGAGGTTTCCTCTCAGTGCGGGGCTTTCCAGGGGGCAGCTGTCAGGACCCAGCTGTCAGGACAGGTCCTGGACAGACCAGGCCCTCACAGGGAGGGCTGCCAGACCCCGAGCTGCTGCTCCCGCAGAGTGCACCGTCGAGTCCAAGCTTCGATTCAGGCTGTGTATGGGTAATGTTGTCACTTTTAATCAAAAAACTGGTTTTATTCACTTCGCCTCAGATCTCCTCATGGGTAAAGGCTCTAGTTCATGCAGACACAGGCACGTTTGGGTTCTGCTGAGGGTTCCAGGTGCGCTTCCTTCCCCAGGCCTGAGAGGTCCTGCGGGAACACCGTGGAGCTGGAGTGGGGCTCCGCCCTGGGTCCTGTGGAAGGGGAAGGGAGACCCCTGGCAGCAGGGGTCCCCGCGGCTTGCACTTCAGCTGTGCCGTCTGCGTGTGCCGGCCTGGGCCCCGGCTTCTGCCTGGCGAGACGCTGGGGAGTGTGGGTGGTCACTCGATCCCTGTATGCACACATGGCCTGTCCACTCAGACGGTGCCTGTGCTCTCTGGACGTGTGGGTCTGGGCTGCTCCAGGTGCTGTCCCCCATGTGGCTGTGCCCCACAGTGGTCTCATCTGGTCTGTATTCGGACTGCCCACGTTTCCACCTCTAGCTGATCTGGACGTTTCCTGGACACGTCCACTCAGTCTGGCCGAGGTAGACTGAGGCCGACTGCAGAACCTGCTCCTCTGCCATCTCCCATCTCCCAGCAGCACCCTCTGCTGCTGCGGACACCCGGGGGCCGGCCGAGTGGGGCTGTGCTGGGGGGACTTCCCTGTGGGGCTGCAGAGGTTCTGGTCAGCCAGTCTGCTGAGCAGAGCTGCGCCTGCCCAGAACGTGCACCCCGGGTGTGCACAGAGCCGTGCCTCCCTGTGGGCCAGGCCACCGTGCAGGCTCCCTAACTCAGCTGCTGCAGACGTGGTCCTCACAGCTGGCCGCAACAGGACTTTGCAAGTTTTCGACCTCAACACCGGCTGCAGTGCTGCAGTGATAGCAGAAGCCCATTCTCTGCCCATCCATCAGATCTGTCAGAATAAAGTAAGTTCTGGACACACATGTGACGGTTGGGATCTTTAGTGTCCCCTGAAAAGCCTGTGTGGGAAGCCTGGTCCTCAGTATAGCAAGACTCAGAGGTGGGTCTCTCAGGCAGTGGTGACCGGGGACAGCGAGCTCACCGTGAGCGCCGTTTGGTGGATCAGTGATTTGAATGGGCTTGGACTGCAGGGTGGTCCTGTGGTCAGGTAGGGCGTGGCTGGAGGAGGTGGGTCCTAGGGCYGTGCCCTGGCTACATCTGTCCCTGTTCCTGCCCATCTCCTGGCTGCCAGGCTGAGCAGCCTTCCTCCGCCAAGCCTCCCCATGATGTGTCTGCCTCACTTCAGGCAAGAAAAACAGACTGTTTGAACACGAACCGAATCTTTGAACCCATGAGCCCCCACAAACGTTTCCTTTTCTGAGTTGCTCTCCTCAGGGGTGCTGATCACAACGAGGAAAGGCTGAAGAATACAGTACGTTGTTGGTACATTAGGAGCTTTAAGTTCTTAATAAACAAAGTATTAGGACGTAATTTCGGAACTGCTGCCAATTTCAGTGTAACTCATATGAATCACTATTTTAGGCCTTGACATTTGACCTGTTACCCCAGGGCCCAGACAAACCTCAGCAGGTGAGCCATCTCATGGGGTCACGTTGGGTGTGGCCTGGCTCCGTCTCCCTGTCCCCACGCCCAGGCGACCCGTCCTCGGGACTCTCGGCACCCTGTGCCAGCGGAGGCTCCTGGACCCTTCAGGACACAAGCCACACCCAGCAGGCCGTCCCTTCCCGCGGCTCATCTGCGGGTTCCTCGGGGGCTGGGCTGGACCCTCTGGGCTCAGGCTGGGCAACCTGGCACTGGTCCAGACCTGGGGAAGGCTGTCATGGGCTGCCACTGGCTTCTGAGCTCCAGTTCCCGGGCCCTGCCCACGGAGCAGGGTGGCCATGTGCTGGGTATCCCCAGCGCTTTCCAGGGGTCAGTCCCAGTGTGCCTGCTCTCTGCTTTCCATCTCTGCTCCGTGGCCTGGGCCATCCATGTCCAGCTCCGAGGAGTCTGTCTCTGGGTGGCAGACTTGACTGTCACTTTGCCACCAGTTCACACTGCTGACCAGCCTGGGAGTGTGGGGGAAGGCTTGGATCCGTGCCTTCCTGGCACACAGTTGGTGCTCAGAGGTGGCTGGCCTAGTTGGAGCCCACAGGCTGAGCCTGGCCGCTGTGGACGGTTGGGTTGGGGTCTGTCCAGAGCTGCCTCCCCGCAGTGTGCAAGGGGCACTGTGGGCACAGGACGCCAGAGCTGGCTGTGAGCGCCCGTCCAGGTCTCCACAGGGACGCCTGGCGAGATGGGAACGCGGTTTCTACCAGGTGCTAGGCGGCGCTCTGGGCAGAGTCGGGGTGAGCCTCACCGAGTGCCCGGTGCTTGTGGCAGGATTCCTCCTCCTCAGTGGCCTTTCCCCAGAGCACTGTCCTGCAGAGGACTCTGGTCCACAGTCCAGGACGAGCAGTTGTGAATGACTTCCAAATGGAGTGTCCGTGTGGAGAAGCTGAGGGCTGTGGCCGTGGGAGGCAGGGAGGCTCTGCAGGCCTGTGACGGATGCGTGTGCCTGTGCCAGCCACCTCCGAACGGGGGTCAGATGGCCTGATTTTCCCGTGTTCTCAAGTGAAGAGTCTCAGGCTCGTTTTCCCCCTCAGCTCACACTGTCTTGGGAGCAAGTGCCGCTTGGCGAGTCCCCAGCAGCGGGTCCTGGGGAGGCTGTGTGACGCTGGCCCAGCCCTGCTGCGTGGGCCCGTTCCTTCCCTGGGTCGGTTCCTTCCTGGCTCATCTTGAGGGTTCCTCAGGGGCTGAGCTGCACCCTGCTGGGCGCTTGGGGAGGCCAGGCCAGCCCTGCTGTGCGGGCAGTGCAGCTGGCAGCGCCCCGCACTGGCAGCGGGGGGCCCGCTGGTCAGAGCGGGCTTCGTGGTCCAGGGTGTGTCTGCTGTAGGCGGCTGCCTGGGCTCGGCGCGCGGCCCATCTGCCCCAGGCGTGCAGTCTGCCGCCTCACTCCGCAGCACGGCTGCAGTGCTCTGGGACAGGGTGGCGCAGGAAGAACAGCTGGCGCTCGTCTGTGGGGCCGCTGGCTCGCTTCCTGAGGAGGAGGTCTGGAGCGCCTAATGACAGGCCTTCAACGCGCAGCTTGCTCGGGGCCACACTCTTCCTGTCACGCGGCATGAGTTCCCACGTTCACCAGACTAGGATCTGGGGTGTGCTTTCAGGTCTCTGTGTGGGAGGTGTCTTCATCCTCTGTTTGTTACTGACGTCGGACTTGAGGACAGTGCGTGCAGAGCGTGTATTGTGTTAGTACTGATGTTCTCGATATCTTCTGAGATTTTGTATTCAGTGGAAAACTTGACCTCTGGCTTGTTTTTAAAATAGATATTACATACTTATACAAAATCATGCACTTTTTCTAGCTATCAGCTCTAGGTCTCCATGGATGCCCGTGGCTCAACCTAGTTAATTGCTTCTAAATCGTTCAAGGCTTCTCGATTTTTTAATAGCGAGGGAAGTGTGTTYGTTCCCTCTCCCACTTGGGCTGCCATCTTGTCAGTCCCCCTTACTGTCTACCCACAGTGGCTGTGGGAACCTGGAGGCYGTGTTACTCAGCATAGTGAAGTCTGCATTTTGCATGTCCACCTCAGCTGTGTTTCAGGACCATTTCTGCTCAGGCTCTGTGCATGTGCCACCCACTCCACTCAGCCTTCTGAAGAAGATTTGCTGTCCTTGGGGTCCTCCTGCAGAGGTCTTCCTGAGCCTGTGTGGGCTGGCATGAGTGCTGTGCCTGCCACCGGGCGCGTGGGTTCACCTCACGTGTGCCTTCTGATGTGCATTCCTGTCCTTCCTGCGTGGGTTTCTTCCTCCTCACCCTCCATCAGGTGGACAGACTGTGAAGCTCTCTTTTCCCCGGGCAGTTGACGGCTCTCTCTGCCTCTGGCTTCCTATGTTGAGCTCCTGTGCTGTGTGCCTTTCCCAGGCAGCGCTCAGCAGGTGGCCTGCAGGTGCAGTGTCACTGGGCCACACTGGGATGCTGCACTGCAGGTGTGGGGCCGCGCCTGGGCCCGTGCTACCTGAGCTCAACTCCCACCTGGGGCTGGGGGAGGGCACAGCGAGGTGGTGCTGGGGATGCGACGGCAGAGCTGAGCCCAGGCGGGCCAAGTGTGCCAGTGAGCAGGCCGAGCTCGAAGGGCCCTCTGCTTCCTGCTGCTGGAGAAGAGTCATTCCAGGTGGATTCCAAACTCACGTGCTTGGGGACGTGCTTGGGGACGTGCTTGGGGACTCCCGCCTGGAGCTTGTCTGGAGAGCTGGAGAGCCAGGTGCTAGCGGGAGGTGGGCCCTCACGAGGCTCCAGGTGTTGATCATGTCTCGAGCCAGAGGTTCCACAGGTGCCCTTCCCTCGAGTCTCACTCTGTGGGTATCTTTTGACAGCAGCAGGGAAGGTGGCCACCTGAGGGCCTCTCCTCGGTGCCTCCCGCTGCCCAGGCCTCAGCACTCACCTCCGAGGTCTTAGGTGGGACGATGGGTGCAGAAGCAGGGCCTCACTGAGGCGTCCCGGATGCCGTGCTGACTGGCTGTGACCCTTACTTGGAAAAGGAATGTCGGCCTGCTGGCCCCTTGCTCTGTCATCCTCTGCTGATCCGGTGCCATGCCTCTGGTGGCATGACACGCAGAGAAAATGACGACTCACGGTCGATGCTCCCTCTGCTCAGTGCACAGCCTCAGCTGCTGGGCAGTGCGTGTACACCAAGGATGGCTTCCTTGGTGACATRACTGTCACGTGAGTTCTGAGGCCTGAGTTCGCACAAGCCAAGGCTGCCTGCCCTCTCTGTGCCATGTGCTCCTGGGAACCATATTCACACACACAGCTTGCCACAGACTGAAAGGCTGTGGGGCAGAGCAGGACTGTGTGTGGAAGTTCTCAAGTTCGACTCTGAAATCATTACAGTAAGAGGTTTGTGTTGATTTCTGACTGTAAAGAATGAAGTATTGTCAGACGTCAGTGGCACGATGTCTTCATGTACTTACAGTGGGACTGAAACCCGGGTGCTACACCACTGAGCTACAGCCCCAGCCCTTTTCATTTTTTATTTTGAGACAGGGCCTCGCTAAGTTGCTGAGGCTGGCCTCAACTTGCAATCCTCTTGCCTCAGCCTCTGGAGGTGCTGGATTGACGTGTGCACCCCTGTGCCCAGCAGCAGAATGCTTTAAAATCCAGCCTTTAGAAACCCGTCTTGACTTTTCCCTTCTGATTTCAGGGATCATCCTTTACGGCCCAGCAGTTCCAGGCCTATAATCTTTTCCTGACCACAGCCGTTGGTGAAGGGGTGAGACTGTGGGACCTGAGGACCCTGAGGTAAGTCCTGCATGTATCCCAGCACTGCCACGGGGAGGAGCTGGGAGCGAGGCCCGGTGGCTTCCCAACATGCCGAGGCTGTGGCTCACCCAGGCACAGTTGAGGAGGCTGAGCTGGGCCTTGCTAGGCTAGAACCCAGGGCGTCGGTGCATGAGACCAGCACCTGTTCAACGGTGCAGGACACGCTTCCCCCATGAGCCGACAGGGCACTCCTGTGCCCCTCGGTCCCAGAACAGAGAGAAAGCCCCCTCTGCAGGTGTCCTAGGGCCACCAGTCAGGACCTGTTGGTGGTGCGGAGCCCTGGGGCACCCATCCCGGGAGGCCACGCAGCTAGGCGCTTCCCTGGGAAGGCTCGGAGGTTCTCTTCATAAAGCTAGCTCCAATTCTTTCTCTTTTTTAATTTGTGCATAATAATCGTACAAAACAGTGCATCTGATTGTGGCACACTTACAGGTGTGTGTCCTGCAGCCTGGCTTATTTCACTCACGATGCTCTGACCTTTTTAAAAGTGGTACTTTGTAAGTAGCTGTTTGTGAACCTTGACTCCCTGGGTAGACGCGGCCCCTTCCTGGAGTCTGGCCCTTCCGTTCCTCTGCTGGGAAGTGAGCCTAGCCTCTGCTGTGAGAGGCAGGCTGCCTCCCGCACCGTGGTGATCTGGAAGGTCCTGCAGTACAGCAGTCTCCAGAGATCACTGTTATTTAATATCGATCATATAGGGAAAGCTCATGTATTGCTAGTTCTGTCATCTTTGAGAATTTATGGTATCAAATAGTGTTTGAATTGCTTTTCAAGATCTCTTTAATTGTTTGCCATTTAAAATTCTCGAACATAAAATATTCAGGGTGTGGCTCAGTGGTGGGGAGCTTGCCCGGCTCCTTGGCAAGGCCCAGAGTTCAGTTCCCAGAACTGCAGCAAAAAATAAGGAGTTTTCCTCATGATAGTTTCTTTCTTTTGTGAAGGAAAGGGCTGCTGGTGTGCCTCCTCCACCTGGGTTGAGGTGTGCTCAGTTTCCCCTGCTGTTCCTTGCTGTCCTCGCAGGTGTGAGCGCAGTTTTGAAGGACATCCGAACCGTGGCTACCCCTGCAGAATTGCTTTCAGCCCTTGTGGACGGTTTGTGGCCTGCGGAGCTGAGGACAGACATGTAGGTGTGGGTGAGGGACGTGGGACACAGAATCTAGTGATGCTGTCTGGTTACTCTGGGGATGGGCACGCTGGGTGCCCCGTGTCGCTCGAGGTGCCCAGTCTCATGCTTCAGTGGCCGTGCGTGGGAGGCACAGATGCCACTTCTTTATTGAAACTTGGGGAGCACCCACCCGGGCCCAAGCCTCTCGCAGCACTGCACGTGCGCTCTGAGCACCCTTGCGTGGTGTGTCCTGGGGATGCAGGTGACGCTGTGAGGGGCCTTTCCTAAGGAACAGGTGCTGTGGGAAGCTACCCTTTCCCCTGGCCGCCACTGCACAGCGCTTGCACCTCCAGGGGGTCTGGAGCACAGCTGTCAACATGCCTGTGTCCCTGACACAGCAGGGGGTCAGGTGCACCACCGTGGGAGGCCTACCCTGCAGATGTTATCTTGCTCATGATGCTAGAGACCATCGTCTGCCTGGTGTAGGAGGGTCCGTCCAGGGGATGCATCCTTGGCCTTACTGGTGGGGCGCTGTCTTCACATGACCCTTCTCCTCCACATTCTCTGGTTTCTCTGTCCTTTTGTTGTGGAAACACACGGGCAGAGAACACCAGCAGCGCTGGGAGAGGAGGAGAATCCAAGCTCTATTTCACTCCAGCAGGCCCGGAGGAGAGAGACTCTAGCTCTGAGCCCTGACCAGGCTCCTTAGACATTTAGAGGTCATTTGGCTCATCTTGGACCCCTCCTGTCACTTGTGTCTTTTTTAAAAAGTTCCTGGTCTGTGTGGCTGAAGGCCTTGTGGGGCCCCTGACATAGAGCGTGCTCCCAGAGACAGCAGAAGAGCCCTTTCACAGGCTCCTTAGACCTGGAGGGCCTGGCCCAGGGCTGTTTGCAGATCAAGAGGGAGAAGTCAGACTCCTGGGGCAGCCATTTAGGCCCCTGGAGGAAGGCTGGGGAGGAGAGCTGACCCTTCCGGCCCTGGTTTCCTAGGGTGTCTGCAGTTTCCTCTCCCAGCCAGGTCTGGTTTCGCCGTCACACCTTCTCCTCAGGGGTGCTGGCTGTGGTGAGTGTCCCACTCAAAACTCATGCTGAATTCTGTTGCCACTGTGATGGCATCCAGAGGGGCACCTGTGGGCCCTCGCGATGGACTGTGCCTCCCTTGCCCGTGAGGCCGCAGCCAGAAGGCCCGTGCCAAGTTCTGGCCGTGGCACTGAGCGTGGCAGCACCCCACAGGTGCAGGAGCAGGTGGTGCGAGCGAGCGGGAGCTGCCGTGGAGGCTGCCCACGTGGAAACAGTGCAGGGGCGGGATGGTGCAGGCTGGCACAGCATGGCCGGGGAGCCCAGGAGATCGCTGCAGGCATCTGACACACAGAGAGCACACCCATGGCGTGGCCGGATGCTGGCAGAAGCGCGGACAGTGAAGGCCACCACAGCGAGGCTGCAGGGGAGGGGAGGAAGCAGGTGCTGGAAACCAGGGCAGGCGCGTGGCCGAGCCTGGCTCTTCAGGGGCTGGGAAGGCAGAGCACAGTGTGAGGAGCTGGGCGTCTGCTGGAGAGGGACTGCGTGGCTCCTCAAGACGGGAGGCAAGGGACCCAAGGAGAGAAGAGTCAATCCGACAACTGAAGGGGAGGAGAAGGGAGATTGGAAAACCTGTCTGACCCTGCAGAGCGTGGAAAGGTGTCTCAGGAGCGCCAGCCACGTGAGCGCCCACGCTGTCAGCTGAGGAGGAGGCTGGAGGCTGGGCACAGTGGACAGAAGAGGACCCGTGGGCACTGCAGGGTCTCCGGGGCTGCCACTCTGTCAGACTCAGTGCTGGGCTTGGGGCCAGGACTGCATGAGGGAGGACACTGGTCCTGGGAGGACACCTGGGCTGTCTGCTCCCCCAACCCCAGGGAGCCACCCTGGGCTGCCCAGCTATGGCTCAGGTGGGCCCAGGTGCTGTTTTGAAAGGTATTTGTGGTCAACCTTGGCAGGTCCAGTTCTGCAGGTGCGTAAGGTGGGCGAGCATGGGCATGGCTGCCTGCCTGGACTGCAAAGACCACTGCCCAGGGGTGCTCAGGCAGAGCCTTGCAGTGTCCACCCATGCCAAGTGAGAGGGTCTTGCTGGCTTGCAGATAGCCACTTTTCCCGTGTCCTCCCATGAGGGCAAGTAGGGGAAGGAGGGGAAGGCCACAGGCTCCTGAGCCCACGTGGCCCAGCTGCCTCCAGCAGCCCCACCTCAGACACTATCCCCTTGGCTTGGCTTTCATTGATGCATTTTGTGGGGAAAAAATCAGTCTCCAACACTGTTAGAACACAGTTATGACAATTCAAAACATAAAACAACTGGTGTGTGTGTGTGTG